TATATATATATATATATATATATATATATATATATATATATATATATATATATATATTTATATATAACTTAATGCACTTATTTTTTATATATACCTAAGCACATGCTTGCTCCGAGAGAGAAAAGAATAGAGAAAAAAAAGAATTAAAAGAAACTGGCGGTGCTCTCCTCGCGGATAATATATATATAGTACTATTGCCCTTATATACTCTCTTCAGTAATAATTATTATAACATTTATGCATATCCATTATACATAAGAGCCGCTGGAATTCTTTTGTTTTCGTCGATGAAAGCGTTCTTGCATTCGTTTTCTGTAAAAGTGAAGGATATTTTGGCATTATGCGATCACGATCACTGTACGCTGTTACCCACATCTGTGTGCGTGTGTGTGTGTGATCAGGAACATGGAAAAAAAGAGAAAAAACAAATAAATCTTCAGAAAGTAACAATCGATTAAATAATCACTTAATGAGAAATGAGCATGTCGTCATCTCGATAATAAATAATAGAATCCAGCAACTGAAAACATCCCGAGTAATTAGTCTGCCGTGCAAAGAAATGCAATTGATCGTAAGTTAAACAAAAGGAGCGTTACGAGATTTGTTCATTTTCTAAAATTCGCTTTGTTTTCCTTCATCGAAATCAAGAAAACCCATATTGAAAATCGATCTGTTTATTTTGCAAAGTTTTTTGCTCGCCCTTATAATACGAAATCGAACAAATCCGTGCAACAATACAACATAAGTATTTTTTAACCAAACAAATCTACAAAAAAAAGAGGAGAAACGAAATAACTGGTTGAAACACTTTCAAGAAATTAGAACGATGGAAATTTGCAAAGAAAAAAAGAGATGACGATTTTGATTGGCGCGGCTCTCAAAAAGAAAGAGAACAAAGGGAACTACTCCTTACCGCGATTGCCGGTCCTGATGGCGTTCACGTTGCTAAGGTGGTGCTGACCGGCGCGGATTGGTTTTGCGATCTGAGCGCTCGGTCCACGACGCGCCAGATTCTTCTGTCTGACCGCCTCCTTGATCCGGTCTACCTCGTACTGGTAGCGTTTGCGGTCGCGCATCGCGCCCTCCTTAGCATCACGCAACGCCGTCTCCAAGGCCTTAACGCGCTCCATCGTCGCGCGTAATCGCTTTTCCAATTTAGGCAGCTCACAACGGAGGTCAGCGTTGTCCCTGACGAGTTGTTTGTGCACCTATAATGTCATAATACATTAATATTTACGATACAGCAAATATAATGTAGCGAATTAATTAACAATATTAATCTGTAAAAAAATATGTATTATATCAGTGTATACATCAGCATATTTGCATTTGATTAATTAATAAACAATAATAAGCACAATAATAGGCGTTTGAGTTCTACCTTTGTCAACTGGTCCAAGTTATTCTCCAGAAAGGAGATCTTTTGTTTTTGCGCGAGAGAGCCGCCGTCGTCCTCATTGTCTTCCGCGTTAATGGTCTTCTTTATTCTAGCCTGCAGATCCTGAACGAACAGTTTGCGCAGATTGTGCAGAGTCTGCAGCTCTTTGGCCACCGTGTCTTCCAAACCTTTGAGATCTTTCCTTGCCTAAGATCGATGCAATAATGTAAATTTATTTTACACAAATTAAAACTTAAGAGAATCTTTACACAAAAAAATAGAAAATTTAAGATTAAAATTGGAAAAATTAAGTAATATAAAAATTAGAGTTGCAATAGAATTCAAAAAATTACGATTAAATTAGAAATTAAAACAAATAAATAATTTTAAAAATGTTATATAATTAACACCAACGTCGTTCGTCGCATAAATTTTTCCATTGTACATACTTGCTCTCGGCGCTCGTTCAGCAACATTAACTCCTGCAGTTTGACGGATTTGTTGGCTTCCTCCTGCTTTAGCCGCTCATAATCAGCCTGCATTTGCTGATGCGCCAAAGTGAACTTTTGATTCAGGTCCTTGAGTTCGCTGATCAGCTCCTGCTTTTCGGACAACTCGTCTCTGAGCGCGGCGACCTTGAAGATTAAATCAAACAAAGGCAATTTAAAATTAAAGTTTATTAGAATTAAAAATTAAAATTGCAAGAGAATTCGTAAAGATATGATTAAATTGGAAATTGAATCAAATAAATGAAATAATTAAAAATTAATGTTGAATATGTTGAATTTTGCGGATAACCAACCTGTTTCTGATGCGCGTCCCTCAGCTGATCCATTTGTTCTTCCAAAGCTACTCGCATTTTTGTAGCTGCTTCCTTCTCCTCCGCTTTTTCCTTGTTGGTAACCGCCTGCACTTGTTCCGCAGCCTTCAACTTCGCACATTCCTCGCGCAACGCATCCACATCCTCTTCCAGACCTCGCTTGCGTGTTTCAGCCTCCTTCATCGATTCTGTCAACGTTTGCATGCGAGCCTCATGCTGCGAGATCAATAGCCGGCATTCCGCCAAATCTTTCTCGTACTCAGAAACCTGAAGAATTTACGTAAAATTATGATTGAATAGAAAAAAACGTAATAAAAGAAGAGATAATTATGAATATGATTAACGTAAACCATAACTCACTTTCTTGTTGCAATCCACTTGAAAACTTTCCAATCCCTGGCAGCGTTGCACTAGATTCTTCACTTCGGACTTCATCTTGCTGATAAATAACCGCGCCACTGTAAACTCCTCCTCGAGCTTGCCATTACTCTCCGGCGGAGCAACCTGGAAAAGATCATAAGGTCAACAGCAAAATTAAGGTTAAAAAATATTTATGCACTATTTATTTCATTCTCAAGATTTCAATATTCTTACTTTTAGATTTTCATTAGATTCGCCACCGATGGCTACACCGATCTCGCCCAGATCTTTCAGGAAGTTTGCTAGCATCTCCGCGATGCGTTTCCGCTGGTGGGCCGACATGTCGCGTAATTGTTGCAATTCGGACGCGGTGTTATTCAGGGCAACCTGCTTGGCCAAGAGCTCCTCAGTCATAGATTCCTGCTCCTTGTTCTTAAGCTCAACCTGAAATTAAAATGATTCAGTATGATTAAACTTACACCTTTTAACTATCGAAAGTACACATTCAATCTATGCAATCTTTCGTGCAATGCAATCTTATTTTATGAAATAAAAGTTTCACAAAAGAAGAGAGAGAGAGAGAGAGAGAGAAAGAGATAGAGAGAGAGAAACTGAATTTAAATAATAAAATGTAACGTGGGCCCAACAAATTAATTACATTTTAAACTCTTCTTTTTTAATCATTAAATAATGTAGACAAATAAAAATTGTGTAAATTTTTGTTCACAATTTAATGCAAAAACTAAAAAATAATGTAAAAATTTTTAAAAATTTGCGCTATTTTTTTGCAAAGAATTTTACCTCTTGCGATTTTTGGTCGTAGTTGACTGCGAGCTCCTCCAGAGCTTGCAAGACTTCTTTTACTTCCTCCTTAGCGCTCTCGTTTTCCTGCTGTATTCGGTTCATTTCCTGTTGTAGCTGTTCGTAATCCCGCCTCGCGCTGGCGATAAGTTCTTCCTGCTCATCCATCTGCTCCTTCAACTTCTCGACGTACTGTGACTGCTGATTAATCTCTTCGTCCTTGTCATCCAGCTGTTGGTATAACCGCTCGCGTTCCTCCTCGAGCTTCTGCCGCTCCTCGTTCGAGAGAGAACCCATCATCAGACCGCCGCCAGGTGTAGCGGGCATTGGACTATCGTCCAGCTTGCCTGTAATGCAAAAGCTCGCAGTTTCACGATTTGTAAAAATTACATATCTAATCTACAGCAGAATGGTTAAATATTACATTTCTCATTTTTAATCAGCGTAATGCTTTATAATCTATTTAAAGACAAGAATCCAACAAAAGATAAAATTAGAATTGTCTATAAAACAATTTAGACTCCAATTGACATTTATTGGTTAAATAAACAATATGTTAATCATATTATTTGTGAAAATTGTAAATTTCTTTACAATCTATAAAAATGTCAACCAAAAAAAAATTGAAAAAATTTTTATAATTGATCTCATCTTAACTCACGTATCGCTTAGTTACATGAATTGTTGTCTTTCGCTCATTATCGTGTTACCTTCGATGGAGACGTTGATCGGTGTAGTGACATCCGCCGGTCCCTCGAGTAAGCTGACCTGTTCCTCCGGTCTGACAGTTTCGCCCTGTCGCCAGCGCGACAATTCCGCTTCCAATTTGTCCGCCTTGCCTTTCCACCTTGCCACCTTCTCTTTCTCACGCTCGTAGCGACGTTTCCACTCCTCGGCTGTCAACTCCTCGTTCACGCATACAACGTTCTTGATAGTCTTGGCGCGTTTACCTGCACCAAACATAACATAAATTATGCCAACCCACCGAAAATTGAAATTGAAATTGACATTTCAAAATCAAAATTTTACCGAAATCCAAAGTCGACTTCGTCTCGGACTCGTTGAAACTGGCGGGAGAGCAACAGATAATGATCGTTGTCCTGGCATTACCACCCAGAGATTCCTGCAGAATTCTCGTCAACTTGGAATCACGATATGGAATGTGAGTCTTATTGCCGTCAGCTAAGGCCGAGATTACGTTGCCCAACGCGGATAGGGATTTATTGATATTCTTCGCTTCATCTAGCACCGTTCCTTCCGCGCCGGTTTTAGAAACCTACGCAGACAAAAAATATTAACAACACAAAAGTTATTTATATGTATCAATAAAAATTAGTAACGGAAAAAAATTCTCACCTTTTCCGAACCAGCCAAATCGACAAGGTACAGCTTGCCTGAAAGCTTCTTCTGATTCTCCAGGTTCTCCTGCTTGACATTTATGAGAAAAACGGAGTGAGAACGCGAGCTGTGCTCGTTCATGTTAGTCACCGCGATGTGTCGGTTCGATTTGCCCTCCTCGATCACTTCGAACACTTCCTCGGGACTAGAAACGAATCGCTCGGTCGCGCCCTTCACAAACGGCACCCGGTTCTTGTCTTCGTGCACGCTTAAATTAACCTTAGACACTGCAAAGATTCATAGAAATTGATTTCACAAATTAATGTGAATAATATATTAATATCAAAAGCTAACTGAGAAACGAGTTCTTACCATCGAGAAGATCCCTGATTTTGTCCATGTAAATCTCAAAGTACGACACTTTGATGTGGAATTCCAGGTTCTCTTCCATGCCATAGATATGATTGAAGATGTCATTGACGATTCGCGGAATAATGCCCTGCTTGTTGGGATCGCCAATGACACCCTCCATCGTGTGCGTTTTACCTGTTTTACCATTGCAAATCATTTAATAGTACATGTATCATCACAGAATATTTAATCAAACTTGAGAAAAAAATTTAGTTAATTATATATACATATATTGTGTGGGCTCTCTCTGTTTTCAAACAATTATAAAGAGAAAATTAAGATCCATGAGTTACAAGCAAGAACTCGTTACCTGACGATGTTTGACCATATGCGAAAATGGTTCCATTATATCCGGCTAGAACGTCTGTGACAATGGACTTTGCCGCCTCATTGTAGACTTTGTCTTGTGTGGCATTTGGTTTGAATACTTTATCGAAGAGATATACTTTGCCCTGAAATCAATTATTACACATGCAAAAAAAATCTGCACTCAAAAAACTTCACATATTTCAGATAAAAGCACTTTTAAATACTTTAATATATTGTTTTCGAAAACTCCATTCTATCTATTAATTGCTACAAATATTTCTTATAAAATTTTTATCAGTATTGAGCAAAAGATTGAGATTTTAATGACGAGTTTATCCTTTTAATACATTGATATTCTATACATTTTTAATGACATTTTAGTATTTTAAATTATTAAAAAATATTTTCTGTAATAATTATAGCAGCAAATAAATAATTGGAAGTTACTACATTATACATATATTAATGCTGTACAATTATTTTGAATAATATTTTTAGAATAAACAAAATACTAAATAAAAAATACAGAATTGATCAATGTTCTAATTATAAAAAAGATTGATTGATATTCTAATTACCAATGATACAGAATAAAAATAGTAACAGATCAATGCAACTGCATTACTGATATCTATCTGTATTTATCAGAATATTTCACAATACATGATTTGGTAATTTTTTTATTCTCTGTGAGTACACAAAACAACAGAATTATAAATTAATTATGTAAAAACAAAAAATTGTGCTTTTTAAATATCATGAGAAAGTTTAACTGTTGAACATAAGTGCATTAGACAGAAATTTACTGTTTAATTAGGTATGTAAAACATATTCACTCAGAGATTTATTACTGAGATTTATATTGCAAACAATATTTTCAATAATTTAAATTACTTGGATTATTAAAAAGATGATTAAAAAATGATTAATATAACATAAAATACGACAGATTTCGTAAAATCCATAAAACTGCGAATGATAAATTCATCAATTATGAATCATAAGTGTGTTGTATCTATACACAATGTTATACATATATGGTACATATATATATATATATATATATATATATATATATATATATTATATATATATATATATATATA